TTTATATTTATTTTGTTTTATATATGCGCTTTGAGCAATGTGAAAAGTAATATGTAAAAGTATCAAAGGCGAGCAATGTGAGATAATAATGTGCTATAGGAAAATGTAGGAAAGCAGCCTATACGAACTTAAATCAATACCAGTATGAAAATTTACGGTGCCTTTCAATTACATTGAAGTATATAATTTATATGCTCCATTTATCGAAAATCCCTTCGTACCCAGTTATTTACGCCTAGCGTTAACCCAATAAATTTCTGAGTAAACCCTCTAGTTATATGCATAACTAAAATGCTTCTAATTACTTCAGGGCCTGCCCACCGTGCCCTAAAATTTTTGCATTGAGACAAGCACATCTCAATTTTGATTGCAAATGGGACATATACTCGTACATATACATATTGAGAAATTCCTTTATTTTACTTTAGTGACGCCTTAACTCCACCAAATAGATTCCATATATTATTTACATATTTGGCAATTTTTTTTCAATAAATTAAACAAAATCGCCATTAAAGATTTCTTAACTGCACTTATTATATGATAAGATGATTTTTTAAGATTAGGCTCCACGGCTTTGATATTATCTCATTCACATAGCTTCCAGCTTTCTGTTTTTTCTTCTGGACAGTAAATCCTTTTCATGACATAAAACTTGCACAACCAGGTCAATATTATTCAGAGCCTGTCATATTCCGTTAGTTACTGTTATTCTTATTGATCTGTGGTGCTTTAGTTCAGTAGCCACGTTATCAACTCCTTCCATAGTCCATCTGAGAACAACTTGGTTTCCCTCCGCCCAGGGCTTTCTTACCATCATTTTGTTGGTCTTTATTTCGTAGCTGGAAATGCCACAGGAGGGTTTGAGCCTCCATAGAACTACAGTTGAGTCTAATGTAGCTAACTCATCCCATCCCAATGTCCCTCCTTGTTAATTCCATCGAACCATATCCAGTGGCCATCATTTCTGCTTGGAAGACTATGGGTGCGTTGCTAGACTAATGAAGACTTGAATGCTTCCTAAGACCGCAGTACTGTGGAAACTAGTAGTTCCCAAATCATTGCAGGTGGATTTTTTTCTTTAGGCCTATGACTTCGAATATTTAAGAAGGGCCTAACTTGAACAAATTGCAATTTTAAGAGACGTCGCTTCTAAGAGTTATATGTAATCGTTGGCATGGCATTATATATACATTCCTTCTAAGTCAGCGAGTTTTTATCGGTGACCGTTTGCTTTTAATTAGCAAAAGTTCAAACTTTGTAAAAGAAATATAGGTACCTGTTACATTGCGGTTTCATTGGAAATCATGTTAACAAAGTTCCGCCTTAGTTCAGTATAAATGTTTTATTACCTTGCCGGAAATTAGAGCGAATAATGTTCTTGTTCTGAGTAATTCAGAACGGAGCTATAATTGGGAAAGGTGTTGGAAGGATGCACTTATAGAAATCTGAGTAAGTATAAGCGGTAGAAAAATGGTTAATTGAGGACTTTTGTTTCATCGTTGTGGTTCTGATAAACCAGCATCGTTTCCTTTGCAACCATCTTTTTCTTTATGTGTCTTCGGTAAGTTATTGATTTTTTTTTGTACTCGTGATATATAGGTAAAAAACATAAAAACGCCATCTAAGTCAACATTGCAATTTGTTGCATGAAGTCACTTGCTTTAAAGGATCTCGAAAACTGTTTCTATCACTTATAGTTGTCGAGACCCCAATACATATTTCACCAAAATGACCCACCAGGTATAGAGACCTACTTAATAAGAATTATATTAGGAAAACATATTACTTTGTTCTTTGTCTATTTATATTATTATTTAAAGCGTAAAAATCATTTAATGTGGGTATCTTGTATTTATGTCTAGTTGCTCTTTCTAATTCAAAATTATTTTATTAATAGTATATACAGGGTGTTCGGAAAGGTCATATAAAAAATGGAGGGGTATACAGGGGAGGTCAAAATAGATGAAGTACTTCATAAAAAAAAATATTATATATTTTTATTATTAATATTATGGTAAACCCACCTGTTATTGGTATATAAAATATCCGCCTTGAAACTGTTATTCGGTGGTTCCCAATTCTTTTTCCCAGAATCATCAAGCAATGACGACAATGGTAATGAACCGGGTCTATTTTAAATACGTATACTGATGTATCTTTGGAATCAATTTTAAGTATAAATTTGAGAACAAAATATAGTTTTCATATTAAAACAATATTTTGATATATTGCATATTGAGAGCTGGTTCTTAGTATTGATATAAATTGTTAAATTAAGTAATAATGATTTGCCACCAACGTACGGTAGTGTGGAAAATACTGAATTAATTTTATCTCTATTCTTGTGTTTCAAAGGTTAAAGCCTGTTATTAATAATCGTATAAAAATTACATAATTTGTTGTCGCCCGCATTGATGTTCCCCAGTTGGTTATCGACATTTACATAATGAACCACGTTTACAAATATGGATACGTTTGTCTGAGTACTGCTCATCTGAGGTCATATTTCAAAGAAATTATCAGCTGCTTGCTAAAGGTGTTATTACACGGTACATCGTTCAGTGCACTAAGGAACTGGATCGAGAATCATTCTGCGAAAACAATACAAAAAGTATTGTAGAAAAAAAAAGTTTAAGTGAAATGTAAAGTCTATCAGTAAATTTACACGAGTCCACAGCCATAGCCATAGCGAACGGCTATGTCAAAGGGTTTGTAATATGTGAATAAACGGGATAGTTTTATCGAGTCACAAACAGGGTAACTGTACCTTAAGGTGAAACTACTCGAAAAAAAGCTTATACATATTTATAGCACGAGATACAACCATCTCTTGTCATTTGTTAATCAGTTGAGCAGCAGCTTAATTCGCCATGAAGTTTTTCTTGTACATTTGTGCATTTCTCGCAGTGTTGTCGGTAGTCTACGGAGCCCTGGCACTTTATCGACCAAATCCAAGTAGGTATTTTAAGTTATAAGTACTCGGAAAACAATATTTTATCGTGTATCAATTTATACCTACACATATTAAAATTATTAGCAGTTTAATAAAGAATATAAAGAAAATGTGGAAACTATGATTGAAATTACTTTATTTTGTCACTTTAAGATTATCCGGGACACTGTTATTCTGAAGAAACAGGGCAGATGGATTATGGTGAAGAAAAGAGTCTTAAGAGTTGTGTGAGAGCCAATTGTCGCAGCGATGGATCGATACAACTAGCATCGTAAGTTTTCTTTTTAAATATGTAAGTAGAAATTTCTAGTTAATTTAAAAAAATAAGTTTTGAACAGTGCATAGAAGTTGATTGAGGGTATTTTTTCATTAACCATTTTTTGCATGAAATCTAAAGTACGGCCATCTGTAAAAGCAAATATTTTTCTTCTATATGAATATTGAGGGAACAATATGGTTGTACCTGCATGAGCGTGTAGACAAATTTCTAAACCTTTATACTATGCACAATGTGACGTCATTGAAAGGGTCAATATGTTACGAAGAAAGTAATAACAAAAATGTTGAATTTTGAATAAGTCGTTGTACCCCATTTTCAAGAAAACGTTTCTGTGTGCTGCAAAAATTTGCTGACATATTTTTAACGTTTCGGAAATGATAATCATGAATTGGCACTTACACAGTCGTATCATTTTCTCCTCCTCTTTTTAAATATTTTATGGCTTAAAGTTAGAAGCAAATATTTCAATTTCTTAAATTCTATGCAGTGCACTAATAAAACTATTTAATTTATTAATAATTGCAGGTGTGGATCTATTCGTGCGGAATGTGGAGTAACAGGACTGGATCCATCCAAATCATATCCGGATTGTTGTCCCCAACCAAAACCTTGCCCATAAGTACCTATCCGAGGTATTTATAATAGATTGCTTGTATTGCAAAACCTGATGCGATAAACATTGCCAGTTTCGCTTTTTTAAATGTTTTGTTATTGCAATTTGTATACATTCTCTTGTTTTTTTTTTTCTACTTAAAAATGTTTTTAAAACTGATATTAAAAATTATGTACTGAATTGGAAATTTTGTTTTATCCTTCCAAAAATTTGTTGTACAGGGTAATTCACTACAGTAAGTGCAAAAAACTAGCTGAACATAGAACATAAGAAATATTGTAAGTTTGTCTGTAAATCGGTATCCAATTTTTTACGGTATAGTAATTTACAGGGCGTTAAAATTAAAAAAGTAAAATTATTTCTGGTTGTCTTTTTATTTGTTAACAGCTGTCATTGATTGCAAGGTAATGGCAGTACAAAATAAATAAAAGAAATTATCATAATTCGTTGCAAATAAATAAGGGCATGTTGTCCTCCATTTTGGATTTAAAAATTTCCGAATAAAAACCTTATAATAGCGATTAGCGACTTTGAAAACCAGCGATTAACAAGTTACAGCCATAATCCTCAAATTTGAATAATTTTCTGCCATCTTTCACTGAGAAATTTTCGGATTTGGACTTTAGATTCGTAATCAGCGACCTCAAAAACCCGCAGTAACAAAATTCAGGCAAGAACCCCCTCGTAGGGGTAAATGTGGATTAACTTTACATATATTTCTTTCTAATGCTCAAAACATTATTTCAAAATGTTTTCTCATAAAGTATTACCTTATCCTCACCCTATTTTGGGGATGTTTTAGCGTTTCACTGAAAACATGACCTGGTAAATCGGTTTTTGGGGATTCGGAATTAGCACCAAAAACTATAAAAAAATATATATTTAACTCGAATTCCAAAGAGTATTCCTTATTTATAATACACATGTATTTAAACAATACACATTTTATGTCATTGATTTCATTGGATTCCTTACATGTTAATCCATATCGTTACCTTATTACTGATAATTACGAATTCTAGCAAACCGCTTTGTCAAAGGGTTTGTGATACGTGAATGAGCGGGATAGGTTTGCCGAGTCACGCGCTGGGTAGTTGCATCTTAAGATGAAACTACCTGAATAAAGGCTCACATATATTTATAGCGCGAGATACAACCATCTCTTGTCATTTGTTAATGAGGTGTGTAGCAGTTTAATTCGCTATGAGATTTTTCTTGTGCATTTGTGCTTTTTCCGCGGTGTTGTCGGTGGTCTACGGAGCCCTAGCAATTTATCCACCAAATCCAGGTAAGTATTTTAAGTTATACGTACTCTGAAAATGAAACGTGTTTCACAATAGTTCCTAAGATTCCTTTAACATAATATTTAATTTACATTCAGGATTGTTAAAGTTGAAACCCACATATCTACATGTTGCTTTATAGACTATTGAAAAACACTAAAATTTTATAGTGTAGGATTTTAAAAACCTATATTAAAATTTTTGGGGAGCTATTTAATCAAAGAATTTAAAGAATATTTAGAAGCAATGCTTGAAATTACTTCATTTTGTCACTTTAAGATTATCCAGGCCACTGTTATTCTAAAGAAACAGGTCAGATGAATTATGGTGAAGAGAAGAGTCTTAAGAATTGTGTGAGAGCCAATTGTGGCAGCGATGGATCAATACAACTAGCATCGTAAGTTTTCTTTTTAAATATGTAACTAGGTCTTCCTAGTTTATTTAAAAAAATAAGTTTTTACACCATAACTGAAATATGGCACTCTGTAAAAATAAAAATCTTTCTACCATATGAATACTGAGACCACAATATGATTGTGCTTGCATGAGCAAGTAGACAAGTCTGTAAATTATCCACAACTATTCCAGTTAGTGATGCCACTGAAAGGGTCATTTGTAATTTAACTTGAAGCAACCCTTTTACTAATTGTTAAAGATGTTAGGGAGCAAATAATAACAAAAATGTTGAATTTTGAATAAATCGTAGTACCCTGTTTTCAAGAAAACATCTCTGTGTATTGTTAAAATTTGCTGACATATTTTCAACGTTTCCAAAATGAGAAGCATGAATTGGAACTTATACATAACATTTACTCTTCCTTTTTTTATATATTTTGTGGTTTAAAGTTAAAAACAAATGCTTCAATTTTTTGGATTCTGTGCAGAACGTTAATAAAATGATTTGATTTAAAACTATTTAATTTATTAATGATTGTAGGTGTGGATCTATCGGCACGAAATGTGGACTAACAGCAGTGGATCCATCAAAATCATATCCGGATTGTTGTCCCCAGCCAAAACCTTGCTCAGAAGTATCTGGGGTATTATAATAGATTGCTTGTTTGGTAATAACTAATTGAATAAACATTGCCACTTTCGCTTTTTCAAATGTCTTATTGCAGCAATTTATGTACATTATGTCGCTTTTTGTCTACTTGGGAATGTTTTTAAAACTGATTTTAATAAAAGATGTTCTGTTTGTCTGTAAATCGGTCTCCAATTTTTAACGGTTTAGTAATTAATTACAGGGCGTTGAAATTAATCTTTTTGTTTATTAATGACTCATTTATTACAAAGTACTGAGGATACAAAATAAATAGAAAAAAATTTTTGCACTTGTTTTTTTACATTGGTACAAAACATGTTATTTATAATGGTTATTACTATGAAGTATGTTGAATGTAAGTAGGTATTTTGTTCTACGTAAAACGTAAAATTTAATTTCAAGTAAAGTAATAAGGAACGGATAATGTTTAGCTATTATCTCATTAATTGTTCATGACGTTCGATTTAGCACGAGTTTGGTATTTCCAAGATATATTTAAATATGACGGTTGACAATTAATTTCTTGAGTTATCAATCACATAATTTATTCTCGTGAACAATAATCCTAATAAATAAATAATATTATAATATATTTGGTATTAAATGATAGTACAACACACTTATTTAACAGATTATCGTATTAATGAGAACTAAAAATGAATACACTCATGTTTTCTTAGGAATTGTATATTATCCACCAATTTAGTTCTGTATTTCACAAAAAATAACAAAAATCGTCGCAAATAAACAAGGGTGTGTTGTTCACATGCATCTGACACATGCCATTAACATGATATAATGCGAAATTATTAGGCTGTATCAAAGGAGAATTTATATATACTTGCTCTAGCAGCCAAATTAAATTCCATGATTAAATGTCATACAAAGTTCATTAGCAACCGCTCTTATGTCGGTAATTTACCGAAAACTGCTATTTATCCCACAGGTTGTTTTAATATGTTCCAGCAAAGGGTTTATAAGTTTCATTATTCACGTGAGTGTTCCCTAAATACCGTGTTTTTGTTAAACCCGTTTCTAGGTTATCAAACAATAACAAAATTACTAATAAATCTCAAATCGATTTACGCCTACAGATAAGAATTACTTATGAACAATAATTGGATAAATTCCTTTTGAAGCGGCATACTATTGGAACATCGTGAATAATTTTCATCTCTGCTTTTCTATTTTTGACTTAAAAAAACAAATATTTTTGCACAACCAGTATTTTTCTTCGTGCCATTTTTCTGGTAGGTAATAAATTTTAAAATAACATGATTATTTACTCACCATTCTGATTAAACTCACACTTTACTTCGTTAAATTTTACGGGGTAGTCAATTTCATTGGAATTATTTTCAGCAAAACTATGTTGCACATCGAAATATGAGGATTGTATAGATACTTAAATTTACTAACATAATCAAGTAGCAAATATGCTTCAATGGAAGTTCGATAAAATTTTAAATTATTCAAACTTTTCAGGGAACAAAATCAAGAAAAAGCATTGCATAGACTTTTGTCAAAGTTTTTAAGTATCTAACTTCATGCAAACTGATCAAGTGAACATATTTATTAATCCTCTGGGTAACGTTTTGTCACGCGATGCTTAAAGTTTCAAATACTTTTATTTTACAAATGATATGGACATTAAGGTCTTTTATGAACAATTTAAATTGGGATCAGATATGGTAATGCAAAATCTATTGTTCTGTAAGGGAGAATAGCAGTGCTATTAATATCTCCTTAAGGCTTATACATATTTCAATATGATTTTATTAGTGCCATGCTCAGGATTTGATAGCTTTGTACAAGCCCGTGCTAAGAATCTTTGCCAAAATTTTATAGATAGTGGATGATATTCATATACAAATTAAATTCAATATTTTTAATTGTTGTTGTTTTTAAATAGGCTCTACATATTTAATAATTGTAAATTACTCACAATTGCAAATTCTGAATCCTATATGATTTTTTTAGGTGCAAGTGTTTGAAAAATTGCATTAGAATCTTTTTTATTTTCTAATAATACGATATTACATGTCTCAAAATACTTTCGTATCACTTTCTATAAAGTTTTACTCAATTTAGTAAATTTAAATAGGTAGGTACTTAATTTGAAGTTATTTACTTTTTATGACTTAGTTTAAATCTAAAACAATCGAGTATATTATTTTCTTAAATAAATCATATTTTAAATATGAAACTAGATAGTTTACGTCTGCATATAAATAAGGATCTCTTTTTATTATATTCATAAATCTTTCTCATCTTAATTTATTACATTCCATATACTTACTTAGATAATCCATTTTCTTAACGTGCCTTAATAATTATATTATTAAGAACGTGTTTGTCTAAGATAAAGTATTACTTCAATAAATATTGAAATTCGGAACCAAATTTATATTTACAGCATTTAAAAAATTCTATAAATCTACTATTTCTTAAAATTGTATACCTAGTAAATATGTTTGTTGGTAATATATTATTAAGACTTTATTTTGCAACTAAAAGTCAGGAAAACATTTTTACAGTTGAAATTTAACGCATTAAGGCATTAAAAGTTTAATGAAAAGAAAATGGACGGAGAATATTAAGTATGAATATTTTAAAAGTGTAACTCTGCTTGAAATGAATTTATCTCCAACGAGAGCTAAATTGTAGCGCTGTTTGTTAACTAGATTACGCAATAAAATTAATAATTAGTAATTTTATAACCCAAATCGAAAATGGTATAAACTATCTATGTATCTATGTATTTAGATATCTAAACAGTCTCATTCATTATACAGGGTGTAAGAAGTTTCACTGCCATTACTTCAGCATGGGATAGGGTAATCATAAATGGACAAAAAAGTTGTATATTACTGGGGCGTAAGATTAACAGTTTTCAAAATACAGCGAGTATTAATATTAGGGAGTTTCATCACACAGCGACAACAGCGCTTGACCTAATGTTACACAGCTGATGCACACCACGTGTGCACGCGGCAGGCTTGTCCTACGGAATAACAAGTTGTAGATTTTGATAATTTTTTTCTCGGAAATGGTTGAGTTTAGGATCCATGTCATATAAGGTTTTTTTTGTTATTCTGGCTGCAGGGTAGGCTAATGTTATAGCTGCAAATTCATATCTTTTTGAGTATATCTTCTACAGACAGACATATAATCTTGCATCATCAGTATTATGAGAACATTATTAAGAATTAAAAAAACATATACCCACATTACATTTTTGCATTTACGTAATTAAAAAATATTTAACCGTATAAAATAAATGTAAAAATGAAAATAGTAGTTGTATTACACACAAATGAAAATGAGTATATCTCCTAGAGACAGACATATAATCTTGTATCGTCAGTATTATTAGAACATTATTAAGGATTAAAAAAAAACATATACCTACATTACATTTTTGCATTTACGTAAGTAAAAAATATTTAACCGTATAAAATAAATGTAAAAATGAAAATGGTAGTTGTATTACACACAAATGAAAATTTTAATCTATCCAAAATTAATACTCAGCAAAATTACCAATACGTGAGCAGTGGGTAATAAACTTTGCATGACATTTAATCATGGAATTTGATTTGGTTACTGATGCAAATATGTAAATTTCCCCTTGCTAGAGCCCAATAGTTTGAATTTATATCATGCCACGGGCATACTTCAAGCGCATGTAAACAACAAATTGCTGGTTGCCTTGTAGCTAAACTTAAAATTGCTTTTAATATAGTAAAACTAGTGTCTGTTATCACTAGAGATCTAAAATGTTCGGGCGGCTGTTATGTGGTACAGGGTTGACTGTAATCGAAGTTTTTAGTAGATGTTATTTTTACTAATGGCGAAGCATCAACTACTTCATATTTTAGTAATCCCACTACCGCGTCAGTATACAATAACATGTACCTACTCAGATATGAAGCTTCGCATCGATCAATTTATTCGATACGTATCTAACGGCACTCTAGTGCCTGTCCTGTCGGCCTGGCCGGTGAGTAATCCAGGTTTTTTCCTGAGGGTCGTTAGCCGTGAATTTCATTGTCGTATGTGCGTGTGAGAGAATTTGACGCTTTACTTGGTCGAGTGTATGGCAAGTGTTTGTATGGCAGTCAGTAGCATTGTGTATTGTCAGTATAGAGCGGTACCCGGCTCAATCACAATTTAATCTATTTCTGCTAGTACAACGCTCCGACTGAACAATTTCCAAAGTAAGGAAAATGAAGGCCACCTAATTTTATTAACCAGTGTAATTGAAACGCCTTTTAAACTTAAACACAACTGAACACAATATCATGTGAATGAAATTCTTTCATATTCTGCTTCACGTAATTGATTTTGGCGAAAGAAAATCCAAAACGTCATTTACCGCCAACACATATGTATATACGCATCACAACGTTTTATCCAATTCTGGGGAACACGTTTATTTCCTTGCGTAATATTCGTGGCAGCAAAAATTCTGATTCTCGTATTGTTATATACATTTCGCAGTTTCTTATATCACACGCTAGCTCTCATAATACATAATCTGACACTCCTTAGGCTGAGGATGCTCTCATATCTATTCAGTTTTATTATTTTCTCCGCTACACTTCACAGGGGTTTGATTTGCCTCTTGCAATGCCATCTTGTATTCAAAAAAAATTTACTTTATTGCTGTTTTATTTATAAATCTGTAACTCCAACGAGACATGTCAAGTGATGCGAAGAATTATATTTTGGTGAAGAAATAATGAATGGAAAGTCCAAAGTTCCTTTCCAGTTTGATAATTCTATGATTGGTATTGTTTGAGTGGTTTCCCGCTGAATTAAGATTTAAAAAAATATATTTTCTTGAATTTGTTCCAATTAGATCTATATCTTAAAAAAGAGTAAAAACGTACATTTATAACAGTGATATCGACGTGAAGCAAAAAATAAATTGTTAAATTTGATAAATCAGTTCGATTCAAGTATATATTCATTATTTTAGCTGACGCTACTGTTTCATTCCCTATTGCATCCTGTATATGCTGGAAACATTCAATATCTATTTAATTGTCTGTTTAATTAGAGAATTCATTTAAATCAATCATTGCCGTGTTCTTGAATATAACCGTGAAAAATGTGCTAGCCATTCCAACAGCTGTTACGTGTTTAAAAGCAACTTTC